CTTTTGCCCATTCAAATTACCTAACATATCAAATGGGGCCGTCCTATTGGTACCGGTCATACTTGTCCAAATGGTAATTTTTATGAGTTTTTGCGTACTCCAAATGCATTTAGGACTAAGCCTGAGTCAATCGCTGCAGTTTTAAAATTACCATTACCATTAAAATTGTTTTTTTTTTTGTATAAGAAATTAAAGACATTATCAAATAAATATTTTATCAATGTTACTTTAGAAACATGACTGACAAATTTGCTTGGGCCAGATTACAAATTTTTTACCCACACTGTAATATTCTACTGTATTTTTCCGAATGAATTCGTAAACATTTGTATATAATGTTGAATGAGTAAAATGATGTTTTATGTATTATTACTGATGAATTTAAATACGCAATGCAAGAAAAATGTCGACCAGTGTTTTTCCTTTATAATTTTTTTATTTGACTTTCCAAAGAATGTTTGTATATAAAGTATATCAGTTAAAAACTAATGTGTTGTAGTGTAGAATTGAATAATGTCTCACTTGGTAAATTACTTCGTGAATTACTTGATTTACCCGAAAAGCATTTATTAAACCCTTTTATGTCAATCTAACAAGAATACAAAAATTAATTTCAGTAATACATAGTCCAATTTTGACACATTCTAAGTATGTTTAAATAATACGATGTACTTTTTTGTTTTGGATTTACTTTTTCTTCTTCATGTGCCATTCTTTTCAGGACGTTGATTTCCATCATAGCTGTCTTAATTTTATATACTGCCACCTCAAATAGTATGCTTGTATCAATACCATACCAATATTGCAAGTTCTTTAATCATAAAGTCTTTCTTCGCCCTGGACTGCGTTTGCCTGCTATTTTACCTTGCATAATATTTTGTAACAGACTATATTCGGAATCTCTCATTATATCTCCTAAGTGCTCCAGCTGTCTCCGAAGAAACTTTAAAAAATCTTCTATAGCACCACATTTCGAAAGCTTCGACGCGATTTATTCACATTACAAGACGCGGCACCATAAACTTAGACAGAGAACACGTAGGAGCGAAGTAGGCGGATCCGCAATGCCAAATTTACGTCTTTGTTACATAATACCTTGGACATCTTTCTACAAGCGGATCTAGCTTGCTTAATTGTAGATATAATTTCACCGTGATTGTCTGCGTTAAAATTTAACTGATATAAAAGATTTAACAATTTAATTAACTTGCTCAAGCTTGGTACTATATACATTATATAGAGGGTTGTATATTCTGTTGTTTACTTATTACGAGTATTTTGGTTTTTCGTATGTTCAGATCCAGACCTACTTCCTTACAGCTTTCAACGACACTGTCAAATAATAATTGCAGGTCGTATGAATATTTTTGCGAGACTCGTTTTTGATCATCTTTTTTAATTTTACATGGTTTGCAGCTACTATGATATTGTAATCAGATCCAATATTAGCACCTAGATAGGTTTTAGCTGATTTGATACAGTTTATAAATTGCTTTTATAAATTAAAAATACTGTCCTGGAGGCAGCAAACCAAAATATACAGAAAGAAAACCGTAAACAAAGAAAACCATGGATGACAAACGAAATATTACAAATTATGGAGAGGAGACGGATGGTAAAAAACAAAAACCTAACAAGATACAATGAGCTTAACAAGGAAATTGAGAGAAAGATAAATGTAGCTAAGGAAGAGTGGATGAAAGAAAAATGTAAAGGGGTAGAAGATCTGCAAAGGAAGCATAAAGATAGAGAATTACACAGAAAGGTGAAAGAAGTCGCTGGGATATGGAAACCCAAACATTTATCTATTGTAACAAACACGAAAAACCAAATGGAATTAGACCCTGTAAAACAGAAGGAAATATGGGAACAATATCTTAAAGATTCGTTTGGTGATCGGAGAGCAGAAGGGCCCCCACAAATAGATACCGATGGAAAACTAAGTATTCTAACCGAAGAAGTTAAGCGGGCAATAAAAGACGCAAAGAACAACAAGGCACCCGGCGAAGATCTAACAACAGCCGAACATTTTAAACACCTGAGTGATGATGCTGTCGGGAAATTAACCTACCTCTTTAACATTATATATGAACATGGCACTCTACCGTATGACTGGCTAACATCCACATATGTAGCTCTTCCTAAAAAATAAAAATCAAGGAAATGTGAAGACCATCGAACTGTATCCCTAATGAGTCATGCTGCTAAGATTTTTATGCGAGTAATTTATAACCACATTCACAATAAGTGTGAAGAATACCTGAGTCGTTCTTAATATGGTTTTAGGAAAGGTACAGGCACCAGAGAAGCAATAATGGGATTGACACTAATGGCAGAAAGGTATCTCGAGGTTCAAAACCAGCTGTATGTGTGCTTTGTCGATTATAGAAAGGCCTTCGACCGCATTAGACACGAAAAATTGATTGAGGTGCTAAAAGAAGTAGTGCTGGACGGACACGATATAGCTATAATAAGCAATACATACTGGAACCACACAGGATGTGTTCGAACAGACAACGGAAATACCAATTATGTAAACATAGAACGAGGAGTGCGTCAAGGGTGCATTTTGTCCCCTCTTCTATTTAATGTCTATGCCGAAAATATCATCAGAGCTTCTCTTGAAGATCGCCCTGAAGGTGCCAGAGTCAATGGAATCATCATTAACAATGTAAGATATGCCGATGACACCGTAGTATTAGCAGAAACAGAAGACCAACTAAAAATATTGATGAACATACTATCAGAAGAAAGTCACAGACTAGGTTTGGATATTATACTTTCCAAAACCAAAATCATGGTATTCCACAAGAACCCCCATGAACAAATTACACCCAACATACAAATCGATGGTATCACCCTTCAGAGCTCCCAAAGCTTCATATACCTGGGCAGAGAGCTAAACAGTCAGCTAGACCACTCAAAATAAATTAGAAGACGTATTGAAATAGCAAGATCTGACATTAAAACAGTATGACGTCAACAAACTGAATTCATTCGAAATGTGGATGTACCGCCGAATGCTAAGAATAAGCTGGACCAGCAAAACAACAAATGAAGAGGTACTAAAAATAATGAACACACCACCTCATCTGATTAATACAATCAAAATTAGAAAGACGTCATATCTAAGACACATAATGCGCCATAAGGAATTTGAGCAGCTCCAGGTAATATTAGAAGGCAAAATCGAGGGTAAAAGAGGTATAGGAAGAAAAAAGAAATCCTGGCTCCGAAACATCAGAGATTGGACACACACAACAGGAAATGACTTAATCCATCAAGCCCAGAACAGAGAGAAATTTGCCATATTAATCGCCATCCTTAATAGAGAAGGCACTTAGGAGGAGGAGGATAAAGTGCTCATTTTTTTAGAATAAAGTCGATTTGTGGACACATGAGAGATATTTAAGACAAAAAGAATTAGAAAATTAAAGGTGTAAATGACAAACTCGCATCACACTACCTATAAGGTCTATTTGTGTATTCATTTACCTGTCTTTTCTTATGGTTTCTTCGTGATTAGTGCAACTCAAACAGTCATGTTTCTCACTAGGAATTCTTATGCGTATATTGACAGATAAGTTGTAAATAATGTTTCTAAGGCTGTTGAAAGAGCTTCCGGCTTCTTCAATACGAGTTTTTATTTCGTAGCTGTGATCCCAAATATCTTTAATATTGCAGCCTAAATAGCATATTTTTTCCATTCTTTCTAACGGTGTATCGTTAATTGTAATTTGGGCGTTAATGCCGGTGTTCTTGCTAATGATCATTATTTTTGTCTTCTTGCAATTACGTTTTAGGCCGTATTTGTTACATACTTTTCTACAACGTTATCCATCATCCTTTGGAGCCCCTGGGCACTATCTACCAACAACACTGTATCGTCCGTATATCTAATGTTGTTTATAAGTTGGCCATTTACAGCAATCCCATCTTCTGATTCATCTAAGGCCTATTTAAAGATGTTTTCAGAGTATATGTTAAATAATGTCGGTGACAATATTCAACCTGTCTAACTCCTTTTTTGACTGTGAAGATCTCGAACAGTATATTTTGTAATAGTACTGCTGCTTTTTGTTAGATATATAAGTTTCAGGTCAGTTTTATATCCTTACCATATAGTCCTGATGTGTTTAGGATATCAAGTAGTTTCCCATGTGGGACTTTATCAAATGCCTTCTCGAAATTAATGAAACATGTATACACATCGCAGTTGACATCCCTGGCTTTCTGTATTAGAACTGGCAAACTAAATAGTGCCTCCTTCGTTCCGAGTTCTGCTCTGAATAGTCTGAATCCAAATTGAATTTTACTCAGGTGTTCTTCTAATTTGGTGTAAAGGCGCGAGTGAATGATAATAAGAGTACTTTAAGTGCATGTGTCATCAAACTAATTAATCTGTGTTCTTTACATTTTCTAGCGTTGGCGAAATTAGTAACAGCCTAATATCTGATTTTTTATTTATTTAACTTTTATCTTTTATTATTGATTAGTTTTTAATGGCTACTATTTTTTGACAAAGGCAGTTATATTCTACAAAATATATATATTAATTTAAATTTTTATGAATTTCACAATAAATAATGTGAAAAACAGATTGAGAATGAACATCTTTAACTAAAAATTCCAATCACTTGAGTCCCTTATGGTTTAATTAGGACAGTCTTACTACTTATAGTTGGTTCTGTTCATGCACTTAGCACGGTTTACTAAAATAAATGATAATTTTTATACTAATTTACACTGTAAAGCCGTGTTTAATCCCCATTTTTCAATTGCTTATCAAAAATGCTTAATAGTAATTTGCAATATTATATAAAATTAATTTCTACAGTAAACATGAGCTAAAATTTGTAAATATTCGTTAAATAAAATACTAACATTTAATTTCATATTTTAAATGATTTGTATTAAAATGTCATTATAGGCATAATGAAAAATCTGTCTGCATATCAAATTTTTTATAACATTTTTTTTATTTTATTATTTTATTTCAGTATGAGGGTACACCCTTTTACCCAGACAACGACAGATTTTGGGTGGTAGTCGATAAATACAAAGTTACCCAATTCTACACAGCTCCAACTGCAATCAGAGCTTTAATGAAATTCGACGATGAATTAGTTACTAAGTAAGTTTAAATTGTAACCATAGAATAATTAAAAAATATATGCCTATGTTAATTTCTTTGGTTACATATAATTTTTAATTAGGTTTAAATTAATTTTCAATTATATTTGGCCGTGTTTTTTCACTATATCCATTATTAGCAAATATTTTCATGGACTTGAGTGCAGCATTGTGTTCAAACATGAAGTATGAGGCATGCAAATTGAGAGCTCATGCGGATTTGGATGCAAGAGACACAAGATCGAAACAAATAAAAAATTATGAGGAAGATCTATGTCCAGTAGTGGACAAGCGAAAATTGAATAATGATGATGATGGTAATGCAGATATGTAGATGATGTATTTGGCCTTATGGACTAGAAGCACTGAACACATTTTATATGGACATAAACTGTAAAGAAGAATTAATTAAATTCACAGTGGAAAAAGAAAACAAAAACTCACTACCAATTCCGGGGGTGTTAATCACAAATTGGAGTTCGTACTTTGGAACAAGAAGCATCAAGAATGTCAAATGTGATTTTGATAAACCTTCTGCCACACTCTCCCGTTCCGCGTGAAAGAAAGAACCCACTGATTATTTTCCGCAAAATTAACAACACATCCTCCATCCGTGAATCAGTGAGCTGGGAATACGCCATGAATATTTGGTATTGTGTATAAAAATATAGTATATATGTTGTAATAGGACAGCGTAGATATATTATTCAAATTATTCTATTATAATATTGTTGTAAGCCCTCCAATGTAAATATTGGTTCATATATTCCATTATGGTCAGCGTCTTTAGCAAGCTGGTCAACTGGTACATTTCCCTTGATTCCAGTGTGGCCTTTTACCCAAATAACTTTAATCATCATCATCATCTAGCCTCAAGAGTCCACTGCTGAACATAGGCCTCTTCCTCATGTTTCCAACCTCGTCTATCTTGCGCCGCTCTTATCCAGTTTTTATTGAGTCTTCTTAAATCGTCAGTCCATCTTGTGTGTGGTCGACCGACGCTTCTATTGTCTTCCCTTGGCTCCCATTCCAATAACCTCTTTGTCCATCGCCCATCTGTCATTCTGGCTATGTGTCCTGCCCATCTCCATTTTAGTCTGGCTATCTTCTCGATGATGTCAGTCACTCCGGTTCTTCTCCTGATGTCTTCGTTTGTTATTTTGTCTCGGAGAGCTATTGATCAAATACCTTTCTCTTTAGGCATGTGGGCAGCTCACTTTTAAAAGTTTCTCTCAGTTTTCCAAATGCTGCCCACCCAAGGCCGACTCTTCTCTTTAGTTCATGAGTCTGGTTATCTCTGCCAATCATAATTTCATGTCCCAGGTATTTATATCTATCTACGAGTTCTATTTCTTTCCCACCAATACTGATGTTCTGGTTGGGCACCAAATTGGTCATGATTTTTGTTTTCGAGATATTTATATTTAAACCTACATTTTCTGTGGCCACAACGAGTTCCTGTACCATCTCTCTTGCCATAACTAGATCTTCAGCTATTATAAGTATATCATCGGCGAAACGTAAGTTGTTTAGATATTCTCCATCTATTTTTATTCCCTTTGTCATCCAATCCAAATTCTTAAAAGCATGTTCTAGCACCGTATTAAAAAGTTTAGGTGACATTGGGTCTCCTTGTCTAACCCCCCGTTATATTTTTATGCGATTACTGTTATAAAATGTAATTTGACAGTGGTTGTTGCCTGCAGGTATATTTTATATAATAATTTAGTATATCTATAATCTAGCCTGCATTCTTTAAGCGCCTGTAATATTTTGCTTAGCTTGACTGTGTCAAACGCTTTGTGAAAATCGATAAATATTAGAACTAGAGGTTTATTGTATTCCACTGTTTTTTCTATTAGGGTTTTTATACTTTGTAGATGGTCATTTGTTCCGTAACTTTTTCGGAATCCTGCCTGTTCCCTTGGTTGATAAGTCTCTAATTTTCTTTCCATTCTCTTAACTAGTATTCGCGTAAACAACTTATATAGGGCTGAGGAGGCTAATCGGTCTGTAATTCTCTAAATTTGCTTTGTCTCCTGCTTTGTGTAATATAATCATAGTAGCGTTGTTCCAGTCTGTTGGAATATTGGCGCTGTGAAGGCAGATATTGAAAAGTTGTTTAATTTTTTCAAGTATTAAATCCCCTCCAATTTTTAGTGCTTCTGATACTATTCTATCTTCACCCGGGGTTCGATTATTTTTCATTTTCTTCAGGGCTTCTTTGATTTCTGATTTTGTTATATTGGGCATTAAATCTGATCCTTGGTTTAATACCCCAGTTTTTAGTGTAATTGGAGGTTCCGTATTGTTATCTTTTTTTCTTGATCTATATAACTCTTTGTAGAACTCTTCGACTATTCTTAATATTTCATCTCTGTTCGTTGTTTCTTCTCCAGTTCTGTTTCTCACTTTGTTAATTTCTTTATTATCTAATAATAATAGCTTTAATATCTTTAGTATATATTTTATTTTTTATAATACAAAGAGTTCTATTTCTTTTATGTTGATTCGTATTTATCTTTATTCCTTTGATGACCGACCTATTCTAATAATGCTTTATTTAGTAGTACTATTTCAACGGCTACCGCTCCAATAGTATATGTTGAACAATGTGATGGAAGTTTAATTTTCAAAGACTTGCTTTTATAGCGTATGTGACACAGTCTGTTACACCATCCTTTTTTTGGAACCATCGGTATACAATATTACGCAATTATTATAGTCACACAATATTGTATGTATTTAAGTAAGACATTGTTTACTTGTGGAGATTTTTTGAACTTTGTATAATGATCTTTGGTTTATTTAATATTACCTTATAATTTTTAAGAAAGCATGAGTATATATGCGCGCCAAAAGACGCAAGACCGTTGAATATTTCGCAAATTTACAAATATACATCGGAAGAAAAATCTTAAAAACATTATTTTGTTCAATATTTTTCTGTGGGACTGGGCACAACTTTAAAATCTTAAACGGGAACCCCATTCTTTATTGCATATTTTGATTCGTTATGCAAACCTAGGTAAATTTTATTGAGGACATTTTTTTGAATTGTGGTTAGACGGTACTTTAACCGGAAAAAAACCCCCTCTGTGGGGCAGTGGTAAGAGCGCCTGCCTTTAAACCTAAAGGTCGTGAGTTCGAATCCCACCTGGGTGGAAATTTTCGTTTATTAAAAAAATTAATAAATGAAAATAATTTCTATCCTTGTGTGATCCGTACACACCGGGGGGACCGCAGACGTTCGGATACAATTAGCGTCTCTTAGCAAAGACAATGACGTCGACTTTGCTAAGTATCAAGACAATTACTCTACACACACACACACACACACACACACTACACCTCAAATTGTAAGATTGGCGAATGGATTTAGTGTCCGCAGTCATTTAAACACAAACAAACAAACAACCGGAAAAAAAATATTTATCCTGATACTCTAAGAAAATTATGAAAACGGTCTAATATTTCGACAAAAATACGGCTAAATAAGAAACCAATAACACGTTTTTAATATTTTTTCTATCTATCTATTGGCACTAAACACGAACCCCATCTCAACCCTGTGATTGGAGCGGGGGATAACTTTGAAATTTTAAATAGAAACTCCCATTTTTTGTAGCAGATTCGAAGTAATAATCATTAGGAATTTGGAGAATAGATTTAATGTCCGCAGTCATATAAACCCAAACAAACAGAAACTGTTCTCTAACTAGATTTTTTTGAAAGACGATAAATAGTCATTGTGTTCTTGTTTTCGTTGTATTCTTGTTTAGAATATTGTATTTATGTATTTAGAATATTCTTATTTAGAATATTATATATGTCATTTTTTTAGACATGATCTCTCATCTTTACGAGTATTAGGATCTGTAGGAGAGCCTATAAATCCTGAAGCATGGCTGTGGTACCACAAACTAGTAGGAAGAGGAAAGTGTTCAATAGTGGATACTTTTTGGCAAACAGAGACTGGTGGGCATGTACTTACCCCATTACCAGGAGCAATTCCAATGAAACCAGGATCAGCCGTAAGTGTTTGACTTTTGTACTTATCGGAGTATATCGGAGAAAAAACCTTTTATCAAATTGTTAAAATGTAATATTTTAAAAAACGTTAAATGTTTTATAAATGAAAACTAGAATTTTGGTAATTAATTAATTCGGTGGTTTTTTGATGGTATATTCTTTCGTAATTTAGTCAAGTTTAATAGATTCTTTAATCACATAATTACACAATAGTAATGCTAACACGATATTGACGGTTAATTAATAGATGAAAACACTCAAACGAATATAAAAGCTCACTCGCTTCTCGCATAGAGACTCATCAAGACAATTGTCAAACAAAGGTAATAAATCTGAACATACATACCTACGCTAATGAAAAATTCGTATACGAGGTTTATCGAACAATGCATGTAACGGACAAAAAAATAATTTACACTTTAAAGAGCCTGTAGCTAATAAATACTGGATATTTAATAGTGCATTTTTTTACAGCTGAAGTCGAAATGCTGTTGAAATTAACGACAAAATGTGACTTTTAAGAGAAGTGAGCTTAAAATTTGATAATATAGATTAATATTTCACTTAATTCACTTCACTTCACTAATCTGGATAATAAAAATTAACTATGATCAAGGTATACTTTAAAAAAATCTTAATTTTTAGAAAAAAAAAATTAGTAATATGCTTATATAAGTAATCAATTCATTAACTATTCTTAATATAAGAAAGAATAAAGTTAATATTTAAATACGTAATCTGAATATTACAGAAAGCGAAAAAACATATTTTTATCCTTGTTTTAGAAAACTATAAAATACGCTCAGATCCATCAACTTTTAAATTTAAATATACAGTTTTCAATCATTAATTTAAGTGAACAATGTGATTTACCCAAGTCTGATATAGTCCATAATATTTATTTTTAATGAAATACCAAGTATGAAAATACCATATTTTTATGTTTTTAAAATATCCTTAAGAACGTGATCTTATTAGAACTATTTCACTTAGGGTCTATTATAACTAAATACAAGGTGAAATTTTAAAATTATTTATAATTTTCTTCAACGCATCAACAAAAAATCGTCATAATGTTCCATACCTTGGTGTTGGCAATATAACAGTTTCCTATAAAACTAATTTTGAGCTTTGTTTAGAGTTTGAGCTGAAATATTCCGTATTTCCGTAGTTATTTTTTCTTTGATGCTACAGTTCTGGTTGCTGTATTGATATTTTTTTCTTGAGATAATTATAGAAAAAAATTGAAGGGCGTCGGGTGTAGGGATTTATTTGGTCACTCAATGGTACCTCTTTGTTCAATCCATTTATTGGAAAAATTATTTTTAAGTAAGTTCTTACCATTAAAGTATAATGGGGTGTCACCTTCTTCTTATGGAATCAGATATTTTCCTTCGATAGATTCAAATGTATTGAGTTAAGATATAAGTAAGCCAGTAGGAACAACTTTGCCTTTTTCTGCTTTATTATTTTTGCTGTAAAATTTGCATCTATAAAAAATATAGAACCGATAATATAATCACCTACGATACCTACCCAATCGGTCACCTTTTGACGATACTAAGTATGTGTTTTACGCATCTAATGAGGATTCTCTGCCGACCAACATCCTTAGCTGCTGCACAAAAAGTAATTATACGGATGAAGTTTTTCTTTGTACAGACAAATTCGGACAGTTGTATGACCCACATTATTTTGACTAGCAAATTAAAGTAAAGTTGACGTTGAATCCTCTACGACACTTAATAAAATATCCACTTTCACATCATCTTCAACGAAGTGCTATTTTCTTTTTAATAGCTTGATATGTCCAAGTTCTCAGAATTTTAGACACAATACCTTGCGAAATATAAGATTAAGTTAGTTTGACATTTCAAATTGACTTCTATAATAATTATCCCCGTAACCGATTATCATTAAGGTTTCGTTGAATCTAAGTTAAATATTTCATTGTTACTTTTGCAAGAAATTATTTTTTAATTAGGAATTAACTATTTCAATGTAAAATGGTAATACATCAACAACTGACATATAAAAATCCACATCATATACCAATTTAGTTTAATTATTGGCATATCTGGATAGTTTTTAGCGGTTCATGACAAAAATCTTAACAGAACCTAATATATTAATATTTAATTCAGAAAATTAATTTTTGTATTTAGCTAATTTTCAAATAATAAGATTATTTAAAGCGTGATAAATTATCAATTTCAAAATTGCAACTTTTATTATTCATAATAGGCCTTCCGTGCTACAGTTTATTAAGAATTTACTTAAAAATAATAATTTTCCTCAATAAATGAATTGGACGAAGCGTTACCATTGAATCGCCAACTAGATCAACTGATCTTACGCCCTTGAGTTTTTCTCTGCAAGTACCTAAAAAAAAAAAATTATATGCAACACAGGCAACCAGCGCTGTAGCCTCAACTAAAAGATAACTACGGAAATACGGAATATTTCACCTGAAACTCTAAACAAAGCACGGGACGAGTTGTATAGGCAACTGTGTTATTGCCAACACCAAGGTGGGGAACATTATGAGTGATTTTTTAATGTATTTTTTTTTTAATAAAACTCCAACAGGAATCTTATGACTATTGCTATCTGATCATTCACTATGATAAATAAGCAAGTTAGTTCTATATATAAATATTACAAGAAACTTATCTAAGGTTATATTCAGCAATATTCCTTAGGCTCTAATACATTATAGTACTACTAGCTAACGTATACACTTTAGCCGCACTTTACTCTGCTTTTTTACTTTCAATCACTTATAGCACTAAATCAAACGGCTTCGTTCTCTTTAGTCTTCTTATCTGGTTGGCGTTGTCTAGGAGTTTGATGGCCTCGACGTTCACGTGGTTGGAGAGCCTCTGTTCATGACTCTCGGCAAACTTACTTATTGTCTGGATAACTGTATCCATCTGGAGGTCTCGATGAAGATCACAGTTTCTAAAGTACCATGGAGCGTTAACGATGTTCCTTAATACTTTATTCTGATATCGTTGTATATGTTGGATGTTGCTTTCTTTTGTACAGCCCCATAGCTGTATTCCGTATGTCCATATCGGTTTAAGGACTTACTTATATAATAGCAATTTGTTGTAAATAGACAGAGTGGATTTTTTTCCCATCAACCAGTACATCTTTCTGAACTTAATTTCTAATTCCTTCTTTTTTTTCTTAACATGTGCTTTCCAACGTAGCTTGGAATCTAACGTCATACCCAAATATTTTGCCGTATTTGCATAAGGTATTTGGTTTCTATTTATATGTACTGGGATATGTTGTTCTCTTTTGTTAGTAAAATTGATATGAACAGATTTTGTTTCATTCAATTTGATACGCCATCGGCTGGTCCAGATGTTAATTTGTTCAACAGAGTTCTGTAACATGGTAGCTGCATCCTCGTGGTTTTTTCCGACTGCTAGTATGCATGTGTCGTCTGCAAATGTCGCAATTGTGTTAGGTTCTAATGATGGAATATCGCTGGTATAGAGCAGGTATATCACTGGCCCCAGGACACTTCCTTGTGGAACTCCAGCTTTAACTTCTCTTAATTCTGAATATGCTTCCTCATATTTAACTCGAAAGTATCTGTCGGATATATATGATTCTAGTAGTTCAGAATATTGTTTTGGTAAGTAGCATCTTATTTTATGATATAGTCCATCATGCCACACCTTGTCAAAAGCCTGCGCTACATCGAGGAAAATTGCGGAACAAACTTTTCCTTCTTCTAGAGCTTTTTCTATGATATCTGTTATTCTATGCACCTGATCTATCGTTGAGTGGCTTGCTCTAAACCCAAACTGATAATTAGGAATTAAATTTTTTTCTTCTATAATCGGTTTTAGTCTCTTCAAGAGTAATTTTTTGTATAATTTAGAGATGACAGGTAACAGTGAAATAGGCCTATATGAAGAAGCTTCTTGTGGAGGTTTTCCTGGTTTTAGTGTCATTATAATTTCTGCCACCTTCCATATCTTTGGTACGTACCTCAACCTAAAGGAAGCGTTTATAAGATGTGTTAATTTTACAATAGCTTTCCTTGGAAGTTGCTTTAACACTTCCCCAGTAATTAGATCAAATCCAGGAGCTTTCTTTGGATTTATATTTTCTTTTATTTCCAAATATACTTCTTTTGGAGTTACAAGGCTAATCTCCATTTCGTCTTGATCAGAGAGCTCCCAGTTTATTCTTTCTTGTTCTTCATTTGGTTGAAAAGTATTTTCTAGGTGGTCAGCAAACCTGTTGGCCTTTTGTATATTGCTTTTTGCCCAGCTACCATTAGTATTTCTAATTGGTGGATACTGTAAGATTGGCCTTTTTAATCGTTTAGTAGCCTTCCACAAAGAGTAATCAGTAGCGCTATCATTTGATAGTTCACTTAGGTAAATGTTAACCGATTCGTTTTTAATTTTTTGTATTTCTCTTTTTAATTTTTGTGTGGCATTATTTAATCTAGTTTTATCAACTGGTGCTCTAGACTGATGCCACTTGCGTCTTAGTTTTCTTTTTTCGGTTATCATTTCTCTGATTTCTTTCGGGTAGTTATTTCCTTTTATTCTTTCGACACTGTTCGTGCTATTGTTCCAAGCAGCTTGTTGTATATTTTTATTGAGTAATTCTACTTCTGCTTCTAGTTGATCAATGGTTCTTAATGGCACTGAGAGGTTAATCTTCTCTTCAAGGTCTATCTGGAAACTTTTCCAATCAGTATTTTTGTTAACAAGTCTAGGGGGGCTTTCTTTTTTGATAACAGTGTCACTGAGTGTGAGAATAATTGGAGAATGGTCCGAGGTCATATCCAATGACTCTTCTATCTCTATGTAATTTGTAGAAATATTTCTAACTACAAAGAAGTCGATAAGATCTGGAATTTTATTTGTGTCAGTAGGCCAGTATGTTGGTTTTCCCGTTGATACTGCGTCGCATTTTATGTATTTCATTGCTTCTAAAAGTTCTTTCCCTTTGGTTGTAGTCAGTCGTGACCCCCAATGCGTATGTTTTGCATTGAAGTCTCCTCCAAGGATAAATCTATGTCCTTGACTGGTCAGGAAATCTACGTATTGATTTTTCTTGATGGCATGTCTTGGCGGACTGTAAACTGCTGTGACGATTACCTCATAATTTTTACATTTAATTTTTACTGATGTGGCCTGAAATTCTTTTGTTCTGTACCCAATTTCCTGATAGTGCATAATATTTTCCTTGATTATTACTGCACTACCTCCTTTGGCTGCATTATCAGGGTGAGTAGTATGATGTATTGAATTTATAATATTAATGTATTGAAAAAAATTTTAAATAATTTCAAAATTTTACCTTGTATTTATATATAATGGGCCCTACGAGATATACACTTGAGTGCAAAAAATAGACTCAAAATTATTTTGCGAAAGTACGTCTCCTGTTTTAATCAAAAAAGGTATAAATTTAAAAATATTTAGTGTACAATTATTAACCTCATTATTGAGTTTGAAAAAAGTTTTTTATTCTTGGTAAATCGGGTGACGTATTACAAATAAATAATACAACACGTAGAGAGGGAGTCATAATTTAACCCATTGAAATCTACACGCACCCACTTAACACATTTGGTTAATATCGTAAGCATCAATTTTTATAGGAACCCACTAATACATCAGTCAATTAAGTTCGCAACTTCACAACAAATGGTTACCACATCCGTCAAAGTAGCTCAAGCAGTAGCATTATTGAGAGAAGACCTGAGCCAGAGAGCCGTGGCACTCGACTAAATTTAAGCCAATCTACTGTGTCTCGGGTGTATCGTCGGTACCAAGATACTGGTGATTATGTCCGCCGACAAGGAGGAGGTCGTAAACGAATACCAACAGAGAGATATGATCAATTTCTTGTATCTAAATCTCTGAGAAATCGACATTTGACAGGTGCTAATCTCAAAGAGGAGCTTAGAGAGGTCTGAGGTGTGGTTACCGACGTTTGGACAATTAGAAGGAGACTAAAAGCAGCCAACCTGACATCAAAAAAGGCAGTTACTGGTCCCAAGCTAACTGCAGCCCAGAAGCAAACACGACTAGAATTTACTCGCGAACATTTGGATTGGGACGACTATCAATGGAATCAGTTATTATTCTCCAACGAAAGTAGGATCTGCCTACATGGCAATGACAAGAGGCGTCGAGTCTATAGAAGGCCAGGGGAACGATTTGCTCAAAGTTGTATACGACAAATTGTGTCATCTGGAGGCGGTTCTTGTATGTTTTGGGCAGACATTTCCATGGATGGCAAAACCGAGCTGGTTTTCGTGCCTGGTGAAGGACGTGAAGGAGGTTTAACGGCGGATCGTTATATCAGAGATATTTTGGAGGAACATGTGGTTCCGTACGCGGGATTTATTGGTAATGCCTGTATTTTATTGCATGATAATGCACGATGTCATATCGCACGAGTCACCACCACCTATCTGACTAAGATCGGTATACCTACAATAAATTGGCCTGCGTTGAGTCCGGACATAAATCCAATAGAGCATGTTTGGGATGAGCTTAAACGAAGGGTCCGGAGCAGAAATCATGCACCAAGGAGCATAATGGAATTGAGAGCTGCGCTTAATGATAAATGCGAAGCAATGCCTCAAGAATTTATTAGAAAAGTCATCCGATCCATGCGAAATCGATTGGAAAGTGTAATTAGGAATAGGAGTGGTAATATCACATACTAAAAAACAAAAAAAATTCATTTTGTAATTGATGATTTCTCTGTTCATTACGTCTTTCTTGGGATAGTTCCAATGATGAATATTTTAGAAACTCTGTTCGTATTGCATATTGTTTTTATAGTGCGTCTTCCAAATAATAAAATAACAGTTTTTGTAAGTTCAATAATAAAGTTACTGTTTGCACATTACATTTTGTTATTTTCATACCTCTTACATTAAAACAGAAGGTGTAAGTAATCTTAAATATCGCCTTTGAGTCGATTGTTTTGCACTCAAATGTAGTTCAATGAGATCGGATTCTTAGCTTTTTAAATGGAGCTCATTTAAATGAAATGAGCTCAGACTTGAATGAACCACGTTATTTATTTAAATTCGTGTTTGAAAAGTTGACATTTGAATTTAAAAGTTGACAGGTTCCAGCGTTTTTAATTTTGTGAAATAAGGATAAAAACAATTTTATTTCACAAGTGGTTTTATTATTGTACATTGTATTAGAACGAAATTTTATTTTTATGTGGACTCGAATCTAATTATAAAAGCAAAAGATTTAAAAAATAACATTTTTACTTTATTGTAAACATTTGCTATTGCCATTATTGTTATTATCTACTTTAGAAATTATGTTTTTTAATTTTCTATAATCATAACAAATAAATAATCGTGTACATAGCCTTCAAAATTTCATAATATAAAAATAGCATAATTTTACTAATTTGGTACATAGACATAGTTTCGTTTAAAAAAATGTGGATTGTGGTCGATCCGAAATTATACCTTATTTCCGCGACCATTAGCGTAAGTTATGTACAATATTAAGATGATACAGTAGTTGTGAATCCTACAAGAACGAACTTGATATTATTTATAATTATTCTTTCTGGATCTTTTATCAATTTTAGCTTTACCGTTTAATTCTAATAATATACAGTTTCTATACAAATTACTGACAATTTATATTTTACTTGTTTAAATGTATTTGTGAAATAACATTCAATATATTTTCAGGCTGTGCCATTTTTCGGCGTACAACCCGTCCTTCTCGATGAAGCGGGGAAAGAGATAAAGGGCGAAGGTGAAGGTTACTTGGTGTTTTCACGTCCGTGGCCTAGTTTAATGAGAACTCTCTTCAATAACCACGATCGATATGAGACTACCTATTTCACGAAATTCCCAGGATATTATTGTACTGGAGACGGTATGTAAACAGAATATTACTTGTAGAAAAAAATCAAACTAAATATCTAATTTATTTTTCACTATACATTTTTCACATATTTTATATCAATCAATATTCTATAGGTTGCAAAATAATATTATATTTACCTATTATCCAATATCAAATAAAAAAAGTAATTATCTTAATTAGAAAGAATGAAAATTACAGAGGAATTGCGGTAAACAGCACAATAAGTAGGATGTATGGAAAACTTATTAAGAACAAAATAGAAAATGACTATAGAGATTACGAAGCAGAGGATCAAGCTGGTTTTAGAGCTGGGCGATCCACAGTAGACCACCTGTACTCTATTACGCAAGTTATTAAGAAAAAAACAGCCGTCAATAAAGAAGTTCACCTGGTGTACGTATACTACAAAAAGCATATGAGAGTGTACCTCTCCGTAAACTATGGTCAACCCTACAGCAAACCAATATTAAGCATGGTCTTGTCAAAGCAGTCCAAACTCTGTATAATGGAACGGTTGCAAAAATTAAAACTGGATCAAGGATATCTGAAGGATTTAAGGTCACGAAAGGACTAAAGCAGGGTTACTGTATTTCGCCCACCCTTTTCAAAATTTATCTGGAACAAGCACTCAAGCTGTGGAAAAGAAAATGTAATGGCATGGGAATCCCTCTCAATGACGAGACTACACTGTACACCTTATGTTTCGCTGACGACAAAATACTGATTGCTCAGGATCATGACGACTTGAGTTACATGACTCGGAAGCTGATAGAAGAATATAACAAATGGGGTCTCGAAGTCAACATTAAGAAAACTGAAGCCATGTGTATTGGAGGGACAAAGCAGTCCATAATATTAGACGATGGGGTAGAAATTAGACAATGTGATGAATACAAGTACCTGGGTGGGTATGAAGATAACTCAAGATGGAACACTCGATGCTGCTATAAAAGTAAGAAACATACAGGGTAGAAAGCCATACCTATGATGAACGGCATTCTGTGGGACAAAACAATAAAGCGAACAAACAACTCATATACAACACTATACTTAAAAGTGTAATCACATGTGGCAGTGAAGTTTAGCCAATGAAACAAAGAACAGAGAAACTGTTACTAGCAAAAGAAATGGACTTCTGGAGAAGAGCATCAGGCAAATCAAGAAGAGATCAGATACCAAATGGGAGAATACGAGAAATGATAGGAGTCAAGCATACAATAGTTGATGACATAAAAACAAAACAGTTAATATGGTACGACCATATACAGAGAATGCCAGATAACAGGATTCCGAAACAGATTTTGACGTGGATACCACAAGGGAGAAGAAAAAGAGGAGGGCCGAGAAGAAGCTGGAAAAAGGGAATTGAAAAAGACCTAGAAGAAAGAGAAATCCCTCCAGGCACATGGCTAAATAGAGAAGAATGGCGGTTAGGAGTCGGAAGGCGTTGGAGAACGCTGTAAACCGATAGTAGTAGTAGAAAGAATGAATTAAACTTAATTTACTCAATTATAAATAGAATCTTAACATAACATATTTTATAGTAAAATAAACAATTTTATTATAGTAAAATAAAATCTAATACCGTTTATATATTTTCGTTCTTTACTCTGTTTCAAGATCATTATCATCCGTAGTGTCCTGTGATATGTTATATGTCACTATACGTTTAGTAATAATGAAGACGACGTGTACTGCCTTATGATAGTCTCTTTGTTTGTTTTGTTCTATCTGAATATATTCGTTATATCCTTCATTTTTATTTGTATTCTCGCATATTAGGATTCAATCAGTTGTTTATTTTGTACTCAGCTTGAGGCCTTCTTTAAGTCAATTAAAATTTGTCTTATGGCAAATCTATGTTTATCCAGAGTGCCCTACGATATTTCGTACTTCGCTTTACGTTCATTAATAATGCAGATACTGTGTAGTTCCCTTTTAGTAGTTGCCTTGTTTGATGTCTCGCATGTTAGAATTCGATCAATTGTTTATTTTGTATACAGACAGAGGCTTTCTTTAAGTAAATACATCAAAATTTGTCTTACAGTAAATCTATTTGTATTCATAGTACCCTATGATATCTCATACGTCGTCTCTCATAGTCTCATAAGTCAATAAATCAAAATTTGTCTTTTAGTTAAACTATTTTTATGCATAGTGTCCTATGACATCTGGTATATAACTGTACATTCATTAATAATGAAGACACTGTGTAGTGCCCTTTTGGTAGTCGCTTTGTTTATTTTTTTTATCTTGGTATATTCGTGATATCCTTCTTTTTCATTTAACGTATCCCACGCTCTAATTGGACCAAACCCAAACAAGATATAATGTAATGACGACTTAGCAATGCCGCAATGTGCGTTGTTGCTATCTCAACATATTCGCTACGGCCTCCACTTTCCAATGATGGAAAGTGGAGGCGGTATCATACGTCACGATCCGACGAACTATTCTACCCTTACCTCAAAACGCTCAAAAAATTATTTAATTTTACATAATCTTGTTTAACCTTGATTTAAATTTATTTAATTCTATTTACCTTTATTTATTTTTATTTTATCTTATTTAGTTATTATTTTATTATTTTGGTAAAGTGTTGACGTTTGTTACGGTGACATATAATAAATATACATTATACGTAATTGATCTTACCTTATAATTACAGTAACCTCTATTAACCTCTATTAGTTAATTACAGCAACCTAAAAAAATAATTAATTCGGAATTATTTGTTCAAATGGCGCTAGGATTTTATATCTAAACCAACATAAAGCTTTAAATTATTTTTTATTAAATTCTATCTTAAAATATTATTAAAATTAATTATATTAGAAGATTAAAAAATATATTTAAGAAGAAAATATGATTGAAATGTCAACTGGTGGTAGTTCAGATGTCTTTCCTAGATGTCGTCGTTAGTTTACTAGACTAACGGTGTGATCTGTCATCATAGCGATTTATATAAATAAGTTTTCTATTGTCACAGGACTTCTTTTGCCTACTTAACAAACTTAGGAATTGTATTCAGTCGTTTTGTAGATACTTGAAAACCTGCTAATAGAGCTAATTGCAGATAATTAAGCGTAAAAGCACAAGAAGCCAAACGAAAGATGAAAACTTAATATACAGCGTGTGGTGCGACAAGTTTTGATTACAAGTAATGGCTGATACATTTATGTTAAAATCTGAAATCTTGAAGGTTTATAATATGACGCTGAGTTGAAATATAATATTGTCCTGAATGTGGTAAAATTTTTAGATAAAATTTGTACCAAACATTATTGATCTTTGGTATAGGATTTGGACTATACAAAAATATTTTCGAAATATTTCGATTTTTTTTTTCAAAATTAAAAACAATCTGGTCCACATTGAATAACGATATCTGCATTAATAACAAGACTAGTGAGGTGAAATTATAACCAATAAACAATAATTGCTTATTCGTTAACCCAATGGGTCAAAGATATTGATATTTTATACAAAATGTACTTAGCCACCAACATGTATAATTTAAAGCATTTATTTGTTGCTTACATTAAATAGAAAACCCTGTATTTTATTCTATTTTCCGCTGTATTTTTTTAAGCCAATTTGTTTGGAATCAGCATTCGCTATACCTTAATCCAACCACGTTTGAGATATTTCAATATCTAAGTTAAAACAACAAAATATAATTATTTGAATATTCGTAAAGGGTAGGTCATAGATGTCAAATATTTGATAGGTAGAACGTTACTTGTTTATATGTTATGTTCTGACAGTTTTCCTTACCAGTTTGAGTATCATAGTAAATAATGGCAAATGTAGGATTGACTAATAATGATTTTTTAAATCTTATTATTATTTACGCGAATGTAAGAGAATTGTTGAACGGACTTGCCGTGATATATTGCAAGATTGCTTAACAACCGTCAATTTGGGCAATTTAAGACAAAAATTAATAAAAATAATCCACTAGTGGACAATGACATAAACAAAATTATTATTTTAGGTTATTTTACAGCGTCTACAAATTCCTCCTTTAGATATTGTAAAAAATGTCTTACTTTGTCGACGAGAACAATTCATCGCATTAAAAAAACACACACAAATGAAAACCATTTTTGCCTCGTTTAAAACCGTTTAAAACCTCGTTAGGTACACAAAAGGAGTCATCAGCTGTGACTGTATAAATATAAAATTGTTTATATATTAATAATAAATAATAATAATAATATTAAAATTATATGAAATTATATAAATTCTTTTAATCTTCTACTTCCCATTTACAGGGGCAAAGCCCCTGGACCGGATGGAATTACTACGGAAGCCATAAAACTGTTGGAAGATGATATCATCGACATGCTGGTAACAATTTTTAACGCCATATATAACACCGGCCTCTTCACACAAGAATGTTCAGAAAGCTTGAAGATCTAAGCGATGAGACACAATTTGGTTTCAAGAGCGGACTAGGTACACGTGAAGCAGCTTTCTGCTTGAGTACGCTTGTACAAAACTGCATGGATGAACGAAACGATGTAGTCATAACAATCCTCGATTATGAAAAATCGTTTTACACCGTAAAACTTGACGCAATGATAAAAATGCTACACAACGCTAACATTGACGAGAAAGATACAAGAGTTATTTAGAATCTCTATTGGAATCAAAAAGCACGAGTGAGACTGAACAAATCAACCAACACAGAAGAATTTGAAATTTTAAGAGGGGTACGACAAGGGTGTATTTTGTCTCTTATGCTCTTCAATCTCTATGTAGAGAACATTTTTGCAGAGGCACTGGAAGGCTCTGAGTGTGGAGTAAAGGTCAACGGGTTCCCGATAAATAACATTCGTTACGCCGACGGCACCGCGATAATAGAATATAATTGAATAGAATATTCCCTATTAATCCCATCAGATCACATTGTAATATAGGACAAGTCATATCGTACATAAAGCATGATCAACAAGTTATATAGGACAATTACATAAAACAAAATCAATAAAATATAGATTAAT